CCAAACACCCAGGGAGTGAGGGGGGCGGGTCCCAAGCTGAGCCCCACCCCCAGGGCTGCACCCCCCAGTCCCAGGGCTCCAGAAACGAGGCTCAGCAGCAGCAGCTTCCGAAAGGACAACCCTTCCTGAAGCAGCATCGCAAAGTCACCTGTTGTGGGGAGGACACAGGAACGGAGGGGTAAGTCAGAGCTGCCCCTCTATTTTGTCATCTGCCAACCTCTGAGTTCTTAGAGACCTCCCTCTCTGGAGCCCACCTACCCCACAGGTGCCATTCCTACCCAGTTCATGGGGCAGCTCATGACAGAAGACTGCTAGGGTAGTGCTGAGGCCGCTGGAGAAGCCGTCAGAGAAGGCAGCACCTATCAGTAGCAGAGTCAAAGGGTGTTCTTGAAGAAAGGAGATGTTGTCTGGGCTCCTCTGGTTCTCCTCTCTCCCACCTTTCTGGGAGCTCTCCTACCCCTGCTGGCTCAGAGCCCTGCCACCCACCGCTGTCTGAGGCCTCAAACCTAATGCAAGCCCATCAGTGAGGTTGTGTAGGCAATCTCCCAGGAGGACCATCCATGCGATACCGCCACCCCGGTGCTCATGACTGTGGCCTTGGTGCCCAGGAGGGTCTGGAGATGGTGGGGACTGGCTGTTCTCCCTCTGGCCCTGAACCTCTGGCTCTGCAGCAAGAAGGACCAGGTCAAGTGTTGGTAACTGTAAGTGGGAGCTACAGGCTGATGACAAGTTCATTTTCTCTGCTAGTCACCTGAGGCTGCCTGTAGGGGTCGAAGGACCATCCCACTGCCATCCTCTGGGTCAGAGTTTGGTTCTCCGAGATCTCTTTTGTTGCTGCAGCATCTCTGAAATGGGAGGGTATCCCTCCTGGAGGAGGAGGTAGCAGGGCCAGGGACTAAGGGGAGACCAGCCCAGCAGCTGGGAAGATGAACACCTGGTTCCACTGTTAGCACCTGGACAGTGTTTTCTGACTTACACCCCTTTCCCAGGTTGGCATCTCTCTCTGTTTAATGTTGATATGAACTGCAGAGAACAAGCCATTTGGCCAGAAGTCCCAGGTCTATGCTAAGAGGCCCATCCCCACTCAGAGGTGGTCAGGTCCTATGCAAGTGGTCAAGGACCAGAAGCACATGCTGCCCCTCCCTCCTGGCTTGGCTCGGACTCTAGGTTTGGCAGGAGGAGAGGAAAAGGGTGTCACTCACTGGCTTGAGTCTTCTGTGCCGCACAAGTCCTAGCGCATTCTCTAGCACGAAGAGCAGGAAGAGGCCACCAAGCACTGACAGCCCCGGACCCAGATCCTCCTCTGCATGCTCACTAGGTCCTGTGTGCTGCCCTCCTTGTGCCTGTCAGAAAGTAGATCAGGACAGGCCCTGGAAACCCCTACAATCCAATAACACCCCCTTCTCCCAGCAAGCTTTTACTCATGTATCCTAGTAGAAGACCACTGTGGCTGAAGCCCAGGGGTGAGGGGTCAAGGTGTGGGAGCTGACAGAAAGGGCTGAGGGCTATGGGTAGAAACACATGGCTCTGTGGCCAGTTACCACTGGGTCAGGCTGTGGAGGTGGAGGTTCAACATACATGTGGCAGCAGGTGGAGCAGGGCATCCCCACAGAGAGTGCCCACGGCCAGGGCCCCCAGGAAGCCTAACACAGGCCTCAACAGACGAGGTCCCAGGAGCCGCAGCAGCAGCAGGGAGAGGGGAGCAGGGAGGCTGAGGAACAGGACTGCCAGGCCACTGTGAAGCAGGGCTGAGAGGAATTGGGGCTAATGTTAGGTCAGGGATGGCCCAGAGGCACGACAATGTGGACAGAGATACACTCAAGGGAGGTTGGACCCCAATAAGCCCCCCCTCCTTAGCAAGGGATTCACCCTTACCAGGATTCAGGATGTTGCCCATCCCACTCATCCACTGACCAGACAGTACATCTCCCGGAGGTGCTGGAGCTGGAGTTTTGATGCAAACACGGCTGTCAATCTGATAAAGCAGGGCTGGGCACAGCAGAGCAAACTGACGAGGGGTCAGAGGAGCAACAGGGCTCAGTCCAAAATTGACCAGCAGCTGGGAACCATTCAGACACTGGAGATTGGGGAGGGGGGCATGTGTTAGGGAGTCAGGGTGAACTACAACCCAAGTCTTGACATCTGTTCTTCCATAGAGTCCCAGGTCTCTCTCAGGGTCCCCTTGGCGCACACTGGCACATGCATCAGAGACAGGGGACAAGGGGACTTAATATGTGTTAATCACTGGTGAGTATTCAATCCAGTGTAGGTATCTGACATACATCTCTTAATTTGCTAGAGAACGCTGCTGTCATCTCCCTCGTATGCCCTAGGAACTTCCTTGTGTCAGTGATGAGCTACTTTGGTGACCAGACAAGAAACCTGACATCCTATCCATCTTTAGTCAACACCCCACCATGTGTTGTCCCAGCCTAGCCTTCTTTGGAGTGGGGCATGCCACCTGATCTCAGGGTCCAGCAGCTTTGTCTGCTGCCTTGTGTATGTAGAACCAGGGACAAATGGACCGTTTTAGATGGAGATACCATCATCTCCAGGACTCCTCTCCACATAACCATTCCCACAGCCTACCCTGAGATACTTCCCTGGATTGTGTGTTTGCTAAGTGGCACCCCTGAATTTGGCCAGTTTGTGGCTAAGGTCAAAGGGAACATCTTACACTCGGAAAAACATCTCCGAATACTGAGTAGCTATTCGTTTTCTGACACTTCACACACTTCAAGCCCCCTAAGGGCCCAAATACTTCAGGCCACCTCCTCCTGTGGCTCCTTCTCCTTGTCTAGAGACTCAGACTTACGTCTTCATTCAGGTGGTCAGCCAACGAATGGTCCAGCAGCAGAAGCCTGTGGAAGAGGTCTAGGCCCGAGGGCCCTGACCCGTGTAGGTCAGGGGCCTTTGACTCTTCCTGGTCACCCCAACCTGAAGGACCCAGAGGCATTCCTCCCCAGACATCCACACTCAGCTCCAGTTCCTGCAGCCTATATTAAATGGATTAACAAATCAGACTCACTCAAGTTCCCTGACACCTTCCCTGAGCCGTCTCCTGGGAGGTTTTGGAAAGGAGAGACGACTACAATCAGTCCTGGGAAGATCTGAGAGAGGTGTCATTTATAGGAGAACCTAAAATGGGTAAGTTGTGGGCTTGGCAGGGAAAGCCCGAAGCCTGGAGACAGTGAGTACCGAGAGGAAGAACTTTACTGATCTGGAGGAGAATTGAAGGTAACAGAGGTAGGCGATTTGTGCTTAGAGGACTTGTAATTGTGGGGACTCATTCCCAAAAAACCAGCACTGGGCAACTAGAGCCTAAGCAGACACTTTGTGGAACCAGGAGCGGTCACATTTTGTCTGGGAGAGGGATTAATACCTGTGTGTGAAATTGTCGCCACTTGTGGGTGCAGCCCGCCCAGCTGGAGGCTCATGGTGTCCCAGGCGGAGTCCCTGAACTCGGCCCAGTCCTAGGCTGTGGAGGAGCCGAGCCAGGCCCCCTGCAGTCAATGTCCCATTCTCTCCATATAGGCCAAACAGCTGGGCCAGGTAGTGGTTCTGTTCCTGTTCAGCTGGGCCCAGGTTGGGGACTGAGCCTCCTACCCAGCCCAAGGCCACCCCCACGCACAGGCCAGCCAACAGATGATGTACTGGAGGCCCCATATCTAGAGCTCTGGGTTAGAGGCTCTGGGTTCTGACTTCTATTTCCTTTGGGACATCCTGAGGATTGTACCCTAGAAGAAGGAGGGTTCAGATCAGGGCTTCTGCTCCTCCTCTCGGAGCTGGGGAGATGCTCATATGCACTTAGCACTGTTTACTCTGTCTGAAGCCTCTGCAGGCTCAGAATTCCTCTGCCCCTCCCCTCTGCCTTCTGGAGAAGAACCTTCTGGAGCAGCCTCCTGACCCCAGAGCTCTCCTTGTCTGGTCCCGAGACCTGTCTCAGATCCCCGAGACCCACCTCTCAACCTTGTTCCACCTCCCTACTCCCCAACCCTCCCCCGACCCCCCTGCCATATGCAGGGCCTCACCCCTACTGGCAGTGTGAGAGCTGTCACCTCAGGTCCCTGGAAGGCCTCACTGTGGACCTCAAGAGATCTGAGACAGGGAGTTCAGACTTCAGATGCAGTGGAGGCCACGTCACATAGAGGGCTGGAATGGATAGGTTTCCCCTTAGCCCACCTGCTTTGGGGCGGAGTCAGGGGTGGGGCAAGTGTGGGAAGGTTCATATAGGAGTTAATGGTTCACTGGTCTCTGGGATGGGGGGTCAAAAGTCAGTCTCTGTTGGGCCCTGACTGGGGAGGGGCCACCTTCTGCCCCGAGGAAGCCACATGGTTAAGAACCTGTGCTCACTCTTTCCTCTTAAATATTTTATAATCCATAACCCATTCGGTTATGGCCACCCAAGCCTTTTCCTGAATGTACCCCTCCCCGTGTACCTTATGTCTGGTACTGAGCTGCATCTGTTTCCAACCCCATCCCCACATTCCCTGGAGAGTTGAGCCAAGATGCCCCTAGACTGGGTAGTTTAGAGGGAGAGGCAGGTAAGTGTTGATCCTAGATGCATTCAGGAAAGAGACTTCTTAGCGATGCCCACCCTGGGGAGCATAAGAGCTGGTGATTCCCCACTCCAGCAAGCATTAACCGTTAACACCCTCAGCTCTGTAATCAATGAACAAGAAAGAGGAAGCTCTGTTGAGGAAAAGAAGCCAGAACAGGGCTTCCCTCTGACATCTGACCTGGCTTGCGATCAGGGGGTCAGAGCGAGTGGTCTCGGGGGTTGGGGTTAACATTACCTGACAGCAGGACAGGAGACACAAAAGACACCCAGAGGAAGGGGGACCCAGCCTTCTTGTGGCAGGCAGGCTGGACAAGGGTCACCTGCAGGGAGGGGGTAGGGGAGGGACACTACCTTAAAGGGGCAGGCTTGCTTTGCCCAAGTCACTACAATTCCCTAAGTGCACACCTGCTAACCTCGTCCCTAAGAGAGAAACAGAGAGTCCAGAACGAGTGGGAACATTTATTAGGAAGGAGGGATTTCAGTTAGACCCTCATATCCCACACAAAAACCAGACTGTCTTTTCCAAAGGAGGGCAGGCAGAGGACCCTGGATCCCAGGGGACAGACAGCATCAGCAGGACAAGGAGGGCGCGAGTTTGAGGTGGATAAGGCCGCTGCTTACCACCCCACCAGGGAAATTTAGTGGGTAAAACACAGCTACTTCACCCTCTAATCCCAAAGCTGGCGGCCTAATAGAAGACTGTCTTGTTCTCTGGCAGAGACACCTGGGTCATGGCTGTGGTGGAAGGAAGGAGAGGGACTCATTTCTTGCTATCTCTTGCTGCTTCTGCGAGTTTCTTTGCCGTTGCTGACAGGGTTGCTAGAGGGGCCAGGAGGGCCTGAAGGCGTGTGGTTGGGTTGGCTTCGAGTGATTCGGGTGCTGGGGGGATGTGAGGGGGTGTGAGAAGGATGGGGGCCGCCAACAGGACCTGGCTGGGTGCTCAGTCCATTCCCGTTCTGGCTCTCGGAAGCTGGTTTTAGGAGGGGAAGAAACAGAGTTAGGTAGTTAAGGTAAGAAACGGTCCATCCTCAAAGCCCACTTCCAAGCATCTTCACCAAGCACAACAGCACGAATGCTGACCAGGTACAAAAAGACTATGGGTTGCGAGTAAGAATGGGACCCTAGCATTGACAATTTTAACTTGACACAACCTACAATCTCCTAGGGAAAGTGAATGAGGGACTGTCTACATTGGTTGGCTTGTGGGTATGCCTATAGGGGATTGTAAGTAACTCAAGTTTTGCAGGAAGACCCAGCCCAACTGTGAGTGGCCCCATTTCCTAGGCAGGTGGTCCTGAATAGAAAAGCTATGGGCTACAAGTATGAATGGGACCCCCTCAGTAATTTTGGAGGTTGCTCCATGAGCTGTATATATTATACTTATAATTTAATATATATCATATAAGTACAATATACTTATCTTACGTATCTCTGCATCACTGGGAATCAGACCCAGAATTTAGTTCAAGGCTCAAGGACCTCTGGAAAAAAAATGTCCTATGACCCAAGATGGTTGTAAAACTGGAGAAGCACGGGAAGAAGGGACTTAAGTTTCTGTTTAAATGGAAAGGGGCTGGGTCTATCATATGTGGGAAGTTAGTGCCCAGGTTAGAAACACAGCACTATAATAAAATAGAAAATAAACCTGGGGATTGAACCCCTTTGCCACCAAGTCACTTAGCTACATATCATCCCCTAACTGTGTATATTTTGTATTTACGTGTGCGTGCGTGTGTGTGCGTGTGTGTGCGTGTGTGTGTGCGTGTGTGTGTGTGTGTGTGTGTATGTGTGTGTGTGTGTTTGCACACGCATGTATACAACCTTTGGGAGTTGGTCATCTTCCACCATGTGGATGTTCTGGGAATTGAACTCAGGTTGTCACCTTTGATGTCAAATACCGGTTCCTGCAGAACCACCTTGCCAATCCCCACATCCGAATATTTTAAACATTTTAAGCGAGCTGGGAGTGTGAGATGCCTTCTCTCTGGCAGCTGTATGCTGGCGTGATCCCCACCCACACACCTATCTCAGCGTATTACAATCCTTACTCCTACAGGGGCTGCAGGCGCTGAATGGCAGGTGCTGTGTTTTATTCCTTGACATATATGTATAGTGAGTGCTCTATTGATGCCTAGTGGTCGGAGACAGGACTGTCTCTGGTGTAAAAAGGCACTGCAGATCATCAGTGACATAGAAACTATAGGTTACTGGTTCTCAAACCATATTCCTACTCAACTCTCTGGTTCTACTGGGCCAAGATATCTGTAACCTAGGACTGAAAGGAAAAGTCTTTTCCTTAGTTCACAGATAAAGTAAATATATACATCTCAATGTTGAGATTTTATGTTATATATTAAAAAAAAAAAACTTTTGGGGGCTAAGGAGATGGCTCAGCAGTGAGGAGCACTGGGTACTCTTGCAGGGGATCCAGGTTCAGTTCCCAGCATCCACATAGCAGTTTAAACACCTGACCTGTAGCACCAGTTCTGGGGGACCCGGCATCCTCTGCTAGCTTTCATGGTTCCGGGGAAGCATGGTGCAGACACGCACATAAGCACACTTTTAATTTGTGTCGGGTGGTATCATATACCTTTTAATCCCAGCACTCGGGAGCCAGAGGCAGGTGGATCTCTGAGTTCGAAGGGAGCCTGGTCTACAGATCAAGGGCAGCCAGGGCTACACAGAGAAACCCTGTCTCAAAAAGCCAAAAACAAACAAACAAACAAAAAGTAGGTGGGGGCTAGGGGTCATATTGAATGCTAGTCTTGTGTGGTGGTTATGTCTAACCGTCACCTTCTGGGAAGAGGCAGGAAGGACTTTCTGAGTTGGTTGGCCTGTGGGCGTGTCTATGGGAGATTGTAATTAATTATGTGGGAAGACCCAGCACATTGTGTGGCATCGCTCTGAGAGTCGAGAAGCTGAGCTGAGCGCAAGTGAGCAAGCATGAATTGATTTTCTCGGCTACTGACTAGCTCTGTCCGCTGCAGGGGTGTAACCAAGAACTGTAAGCTAGGAGAACTCTTCCCCCCTACTGCTTGCTGTCAGGATGACTTAAGACAACCGACTTAACCACAACACCCTCACATGGGCTGGTGAGATGGTTCCTCAGCAAGGGCTGTTGTTGCCAAACCTGATGGCTTGAATTCGATCCCTGGAACCCCTATGGTGAAAGGACTGACGCCCAGACTGTCACTGTCCTCTGACTTCTCCACACCCACTGTGGCACAGGAAAGCTCCCTTACAAGTTAAATACATAAATATAGAGAAAATATATACATAATGAAAGGATTTACAAAGAAAAAAAAAAACCTCTCCATTCTATTAGCAGGTGACAAAGACAGTAAACACTTGGCAAATGAATTTTAGGAGTGCTTAGTCTCAGGTGTATCTTTTCTTTTTTTCCTGTTTAGTTTCTTTCTTTTTTCTTTCTTTCTTTCTTTCTTTCTTTCTTTCTTTCTTTCTTTCTTTCTTTCTTTCTTTCTCTTTTTTTTTTTTTTTGACACAGCAGTTCTCTGTGTAGTTCGTTCTGTAGACCAGGCTGGCCTCAAACTCAGAGATCCGCCTGCCTCTGCCTCCAGAGCGCTGGGATTAAAGGTGTACTTTTTCTTTGTTTTTTTTTGTTTTGTTTTGTTTTTTTTTGAGACAGGGCCTTGCTATAGAGACCAGGCTGGCCTAGAACTCATTCTCTGGATCCCAGAATGTCCTCAGAACTTGCAATAACCCTTGTTGCCTCTGCTGCTCAAGTGCTAGACAGCAACCATGTCTGGCTCTTGGTTGTACTTTTTTAGAAATATTTTTGTAGCTAGACATGATGGCAACACACCCATGGTCCGGTACTAGGAAGGTGTAGGTAGGAGGAGCAGAGATGCCGGGCCAGGTTTGGCTACGTAGTAAGTTTGAGGCCAGTCTTACAAGAGACCTTCTCTTAAAACAAAGTAAATAAAAATATAGTCATGGAAAAGTATTATTCTATTTTATCCTATTTTATTCTCTCTTTTTCTTCTATTGTTATCCTAGGCCTTGCTACTGAACTATCTTCAGATCCAACAGTCACATCTACCTGTCTACTTTGCCTCTCTTTTTTTTTTTCTCTCTCCCCCCTCCATCTCCCTTCCTATGTTCTCTCTCTCTCTCTCTTTTCTTTGAGGCACGGTCTCCCTGACTGGCCTGATACTTTGGGCTAGCCACCAACATGGAGTGACCCTCCCGCCTCAGCCGTGGTTGTTCTAAAGTGTGAGGATTATAGGCGTGAGGCATCACACCTGGCATGACGTCATTTTCCTTTTTTCTTTCTTTCTTTTTTTTTTTTTAAAACGCTTATTGTATGTGTTAGAGTATCTTGCCTGTATTTGTATGTATGGGCACCGCATTGCTTGAAGGGTGCATATGAGGACAAAAGGACCCTGGAGCCCCTGGAACAGGAGTTACAGATCGTTGTGAGCTGCCGTGAGGGTGCTGGGAAGCAAATCAGGTCTTTTACAAGAGCAGCCCACTGTTCTTAACTGTCAAACCCTCTCTCCATCCCTTAAGTCTTCTTCAATTGCAAACATATGCTACCCTTTTTTTTTTTTAATTTTAAGATTTATTTATTTTATTGATCGGTACACTGTAGCTCTCTTCAGACACACCAGAAGAGGACATTGGATCACCTTATAGATGACTGTGAGCAACCATGTGGTTTCTGGGAATTGAACTCAGGACCTCTGGAAGAGCAGTCAGTGCTCTTAACCACTGAGCCATCTCTCCAGCCCCCCCCCCATATGCTACCTTTTATGCTGGAATTAAATGGTATCCATTTTGATTATAATATATTGGAGGCTCTCCAGAAAGCCAGAAGCAGTAGGAGATATATGCAGTCATAGATCATAAATGAGAGATTGTCTCCATCGGGTGGTCCTGTGCACACATCTGATGGGAACTGTAATTAACTTAATTATGTATGAAGACTCAGAGCCCTGTAGGTGGCTCACTCTGTTTCTTGTTTTGAGATAGGGTCTATCTATGTAGTCCTGACTGTCCTGGAATGCACCAAATACACCAGGCTGGCCTCAGACTCATGGAGATCCACCTGTGAATGACTCCCAAGTGCTGGGATTAAAGGTGTGTAGCTGTCACACCAAGGCTGGGAGGCACATTCTGAGTGGGAGGAGCACAAGCATACAGGCATGTAAGCAAGCATGCATTCATCCTCTCTGCTAGTGACTGTGGAGCTGATGTGACCAGTGGTTTTAGTCAGCAATGGACAGAGGCCCCGCAAGACTACTAGGAAGCTCTTGGTGGCTCAGTGGTTAGAAACACTGGCTGCTCTCCCAGCTAACCCAGGTTTGGCTCCCAGCACCTACACTGCAGGAATAACCGTCTGCAACTCCAATTCCGGAGGATCTACTACCCTCTTCTGGCTTTCTTTGGCACTGTATGCATTTGTTAGTCATACATGTAGACAAAACATAGATAGAAGGTAAAAATAGATAACATCTTAAAAAAAAAAGTCTACAACAAATCCAGAAACTTCCCACTGTCTGGTGACTATGCAGCCATAGCAGTTATGATGTAATACAACACTAATGTTTCTTATGATGTCAGTGTAAATCAACCTACAGAGCTGTGAGTGTTAAAAAAGGGCTATATATCCTTTTAAATATATCAAGTTATATATCAGTTTATAGTAAATGATCATGTGATCATATGTTACTAGCTTTTGTGTTTATTATTCTTTTTTGTTTTTTTGAGGCAAGGTTTTACTATGTATGAGGCCTGGAATTTGCTGTGTAGACCAGGCTGGCCTCAAATTTACAGTGATTCTTCTACGTCTACCTCCCCAGTACCAGGAAATGTACCACTAAACCATGCTATACTATATTTATTATTACTATTTCAGAAAAGGAAATCAAAATTTGTTGTTGTTTGAGATAAGGTCTAGCTTTAAACCCTAGACTGGATAGGAACTTGTGACAATTCTTCTGTATATGCTAAAATGTAGCATACACATTTTAAAAATGTAGCATATTCCAGAAACTAGTCAGGCCTAAGCAGGGTGATCTCTGTGAGTCTGTGATCAGTCTGGAAAACATAGTGAAACCTTGTATCAAAAGAAAAGAAAGAGAGAGAAGAAAAGGAAGGAAAAAGAAAGGAAAACGAAAAAGAAATGGCTGGAGAGGTGGCCCACTGGTAACAGCACTTGGCTCCTCTTCCAGAGGTCCTGAGTTCAATTCCCAGCAACCACATGGTGGCTCACAACCATCTGTAACAGAATCGGATTCCCTTTTCTGGTGTGTCTGAAGAGAGCGACAGTGTACTCCCTCCCACCCCATACATAAAATAAATAAATCTTAAACAAAAAGAAAAATACAGATTATGCCACATAGCTTAGGAATCAAGGAGACCACACAATCAAGGTGTGTGTGTGTACCTACTTCTTAGAATATATTCCAATCACTTAGTGATTTACATATATATATATATATATATATATATATATATATATATATGCAGTCATAAATGTATATACATATATGAATATGAGTGTGCATATATGAACTTATTACAAGGAATTTACGGCAATATTTTAAATGTGGCACATGTGATCCTGTTTGCTTTTTTTTCTTTTTTTTTTTAAAAGACAGGGTTTCTCTGTGTAGCCCTGGCTGTCCTGGAACTCACTCTGTAGACCAGGTTGGCCTCGAACCCAGAAATCCACCTCTCTCTGACTCCCAAGTGCTGGGATCAAAGGCATGTGCCACCACTGCCTGGCCTTGTTTGCTCTTAACAGTCATTTGGCACATGTGGAGAAACTACTCTCCTTTGTTTCTTGGCTAGTGGTAAGAAAAGGAAAGATTACTTCAGGTCTTCAAGTCTTTTCACCACTGAGACTTGCAGAAGATGTAAAAAATAAAAGTGAACTGGGTTGAGGGGACATCCTGAGAGGAGCACTTGGAAAAGGGACGAGGGAACGCATCTTTCCTGGTTGGGAAGAATGGAGGACTTGGAGGGGTCAGTGGAAGGAAAGAAACGGATTCCTACCTGGAGAGGCAGCAGGGGGTCCTGTGGTAGCTTGTGGGGTAGTAGGGCTGTTGTCGTTCTGGACCTGAAAGCACAAATGAGATACTCAGACCCTCCTCAACACTATGCAGCCTGGCCTGATCTGCCATTTTCTCTTAACGTCGGGCCCAGGGACTCACCGATTTGTTGGACGCCTGCTGGGTGTTATACTCTGGATTGGGCTCGCTGAAATTAGGAACTTCAGAATAAACCATACAGAATCTGCAAAGAAAGAAGCGGAAGCCTTGGACCGGTCCACTGGGTCACAGACAAATCCGGCCATGGGATGTGGAAGGCACAGGTTGTGTTGCGTCCCTGTAAACCATAACTTTCCCACTTTGGGTTCCTAGTGCTTATCTCAATTGCCAAGACAACTTACTCTCCAATTTTCTGCAGATCGCCCCCACGTCCAGTGTATAGTGTCAGACAACCTTTGAACACCGAAGCATACCTGTGGGTTGGATTGAAGGCGAGAGCAGGATTCAGTCTTCAGAAAAGTTGTAGGGCTTTTAACCACGCCCTACTGCTGCTAGGAGCCCCGCCTTACCCTTTGGTGAGTCGGATAATGTCTCCAGGTTGGATTAGGTTGCCCACATCGTCCCACACTGAGATGTTGATGCTGCCCGTTTTGTCTGCCACTTTACAGGTCCGAACCTCGTGCCCGTCCTTTGTCTTGGTCACCCGGCCTTTAAGGGAAGAAATACATGAGACTGGAAATAAAGTCATACAGGTGGTGGTAATAGTGAGAGTCTGGGTATTGGCTGAGTGAGGTAAAGGAATAGAAGCAAACCCCACATCCCTCCATGATGGCAGGAAGTTTTGCGTGGGTGTATGGGGCGGTAGTGGAGGGTCCAGCACCATGGAGAGAGCCCTGAGTGGGGGGAAAAAAGGCCCGCGTGGCTAGTGAGGCCTTAGCCTGTTTAGTTTTACCCATTTTATAGCTGTCAGCAGCTCCCTATGCCAGCGATCTAAGAGATTAGTACGAACAGGGCCTTGGGGAGCCTCCTCCCTGTGCAAGCAAGTTAAGAACGCAGGCGGTGGTCCCGTGTGCTCCCACTCTCCGTGCTCTTCCCACTTTGCTCCCACGAGTCCACTGCGCATGCATAGCCACCTGTCTCCAGTACAATGAAGATAAGGTTCAGATTCTTGAGTCCCGGCTTGATATCCTTCACGAAGGTCTCGGTCGTCATGCTTCCCGAGCCGTGGCACCCCGCTGGAAGCGGAAATGGGAGATGAAGGTTCAAGGCTTGGAGCCTTTGCCCCCATGCTCCCGCTCGGCCTACCCGCCACAGCAGGCGGGAATCCGGCAGCCTCGGTCCCCCTCTAACCCTTCTGGGAGGTTAGAAACGAACTTCCCTGGGGGCCTCGTACTTCAAGATCAGAACTTATAGATCTCTGGTTAAGATGCTTAGGGGCTGGAAGGCCCTCTGTCAGGATGCTTTCAGTCTCACGCTCCGAAGCGGGGAGGCTGAAGGAGACTCGGAGGGAACCCGGTGCAGCTCCAGGGAACAGAATCTCACTCGGCAGATCTTCCTGAACCCTCATCCCCACAACCCAGAACTCGGTCCATCCCCTCCCCCATTCACAGCCCACGACCCACCCAGCCAGCAGGCCGGACTGTGCACACCGCCGAGCCACCCGCAGGGGGAGCCAGGGGGCTGGCTGCCGCCGGATGCTGCGGATAGGAACGCGGGAGCGCGTACATTCCCGGAAACGTCCCCTGACCTCCTCCAGCCAATAGGGTCCGATCTGTCGCCCAGCGCGCCCCACCTCCGGCCACCGCCCATCCAATCAGGTTCCGAAATTCACTCGCCGCAGAGCGGGCAGTTTTGGGTTTTAAAGGAGCCTCGCAGAGTATTACTTCCGTAGGGGAAAAGGTGGACGGATCACCAGGGGGCGCTTCAAATACCAATCTTGCCTTCCGCTCAAAGAATGCACTACAGGCTCTTAAGATTTTATTTTCTCTTCAAGTAGTGTCACAATGGAAAAAAGGTCCAAGGGCTTTGGAATGCAGCGGACAAATGTTTTAATTCCAGCCTGTTTCTTCGTTTCTTTTCTCGGCAGTTCTTAAACATATAACTATTTTACACATGAAAAGTTAGGTAAAAGCCAGTATCCTGGACATGGCAAGAACTTACATATCATCTTTAATACACTAAACAGTTCGGCTCAGGGCTCTGGGACATGTGGCAGACTCAGCCTCCTATGTTGAAAGACGTTGAACTCGGGACATAAAAAGCAAGTCTCAAGCCAGGTGGACACTGGGGAGGCAAGAGGCAGGCTGATCTCTGAGTTTAAGGCCAGCCTATTCTACACAGTGAGCCAAGGCAACAAAGAAAAACCCTGACTGGGGGGAGGGGAGTGGAAGCAAGTCTGACTTGGTTCACAAAGGCGCATCCGATTCCTTATTTCATCATTGTATTGGATCTCAGGGCCACCTAGAAGCTTTAGTTTCCTCGGGTACTTGTCAGATTGTCTTTAAAGGTAGCAGCTAGCTCTGTATTCTCACGAATAAGCTAGTTACATAAGTACCAATGCCAATTGCCCTTTTAAAAAGAGAGTATCTAAAACAAATACTACTTGACACCAGATTAGCCCAAGAGGAAATGTAATCGCATTCCTTGTCTTGTTTAACTGCTTACCTATCACACAGCGCTTTAAACTCCACCACGACTCTCCTCGGGTTTTCTCCCACCCACATTTCCCCAACCAGAGTCCCAGCCTTAGGAAATCAAATCCACACTCTGAGTGTTTGAAGAGCCATCGCGGATACTGCAAGAGTGTGTGCCTGCGAGGCGACCCCTAGAGCACCTTAGATCAAAGCTTTGCGGTGAGACACTCCCTCCCTCTCCACCCTGCGGCCTCCTAAGTTTAACAGCAGCATCTATCCCCATGACTGTGAGTCACGAGGTCGGGAGGCTCCGGGATGCTGACCACAGCCCTGGAAACTGAGGGGCTGGGAGGACACCAGGCCACGCTGTAGACCCGCTGCTCCGCGGCGACCTCGTCCCAGAGCTGAATCAGGTCTGGCACTCGAATCGTGCACCATCGAGCACGAAGTGACTCTGCAGGGCGGGACACCCAGGGTCGCCCCAGATCGTCACACCTGAAGAACATAGAGCCCTCCCTCCCAAAAGGCTACACAGTCCGTCCTTAAGAACTTCCGGTCCAGAGCGGAGGCCTAGCTAGCCCCCGCCTCTCGTAGGCCGCTCGCTGGGAGCGTCCAGTCGCCACCGAGTTAAACAGAGAGGCGGGGTTTGGTGACGAGCTTCCGCCCCGTTGCGTAGCAGCGGTGGGCGTGGCTAAGGGCTAACCCGAGACAGCGAGGAGTGGTCAGAACCTTTTCCATCCTTCCCTTCCCCTTCCCCTACGGGGAAAGGCTGAGACCCGGCACCCGGGCTGCTACGAGGCCGCTGTGGGCACAGCTGCAGCCAGGCCTCGCGTCCGGAGAAGCCAGGCCGCGTCCTGGGCGGTGCGTAGTGCGCCTGAGCGAGCTTCTAACCCGGGGTTGGGGGAGGAGAGGGGGCGAGGTCCGTGTAGATTGGCGCCTGGGTCCGAGGTGCTGGGTGTCGGGAGGAAGGGTGGAGAGGAGGAGGAAAATGGAGGAAGGAAGCTCTGCTGGGAGGAGTCAGGAGGTGAGCTAGGGGCTCTGGAGCTTGGGAAGGTTCTCTGGAGTAGGGGAAGCCTTGAGAAGTGCGGGAGTGGCCTTGGGCCGGTCTGAAGACCTGGGCGGGAGGAGCAGACCGCTGGGGCTGAGGGACAACATGGAGTTTAAATGGCCATGATTGACAGGCCTGGAGGCGAAGAAGGGAATGTTCTGGGGGCTAGCCTTGGCAGAGACCGCGGAACCCAAACCTCCGCCCTCTAAGCGCCATAACTTGGCTTCTTTCCCATGCCTTGTCTTTGGCAGCCTTGTCTTTCTCTTTTATTCCTTCGCCGCTCCTCTCCCCTCCCACCCCTCCTTGGAGGACTCTTACATTCCTTACATCTTTGCCCCTGAATGATTTGCAGCCCCGCTCTCTGGCACGCATGATCCATCCACTCATTGAATACACTGGAAAGCCCACCCCAGCCCAGGAGGCAGGGCATTTGTGGGGTAGAGAGTGGGGATGGGGTGGGGTGGGGGGCAGGAGAAAGACTTGAAAAAGAATGATGAGGGTGTTTTGGGTTGGCACACTGTCTTCAACTGGTAGCAAATATGGTGCTTAGCAAGGCAAGTCTTGGAGACCGACCTATGAGAATCTTGGTAGGTTCTTCTTATACAATAGTTTTAACTAATAACAGAGTTGTTGGCTGCTAGTATTCCCCCAAGAAAGAATGGGATTGGATAGTGCCAAAGGAAGGTGAGGGGTGCAGTTGTATGTTAGATACACCTTGTGGGAGGGCCTACTTCCCAGTGACTGAAAAGAAGGAACAAGCATTTTTCAAACATTTCCTCTGGTTCTCACTGTGAGGTTATTTTGCCACCCTGTTGCGACAACTAATGAGAGCAGTCTTACCGTATGCTCTTCAGTTTATTATCTTGTTTGATTTTCGGGACAATAGGTTAGAAAAGGCAAGTGTAGTATTCTTTGTTTGACAGTTGCTAACACGCTTGTTTGAAGGTGTCCTGTCAGTGGGTGGCAGAGCTAGGGCTGGAAACCTCGAGTTCGAGCTCTCGCGCGCTCTCTCTCTCTCTCTCTCTCTCTCTCTCTCTCTCTCTCTCTCTCTC